TTTTTTATTTGGTTATTTTTTTGTCATTTCTTCCTTATGAGTAATTATTCATTTTAAACACGTCTACATAGAAGTTATAAAGCAACTTAAAATAAGCACTACTAAAAAAACGGAAACTTAATGAATGCCTTCATTATGCCTCCAGTCGAGATCAGCGCCGGTCGGGGCGACGACCGGCGGCCGCCTGTAGGTACCTAACTACACGCACAGATGACTCGGCGCTTACCTACTCGCTTTGATCCACACTATTTAAAAACAATACAATAAAATAGTCTTAGATGCTATATTATAATTATTTATTCACTGATACACAATACCTTTGAATATTATTTCATAAAGCACAGGTAATTAATCAATAAAATAAATCTTCTTAAAATTAAATCGGTATAACTTACGAGCTTAGTGAAGGAAGGAACTCTTCGTGTCTGATTTCCACGTCATGAAATTCCGAACACATTTAATCACAGCCACAGTCACACATACACACACACACACATAATAATATGTTGTTTTGCGGCAAGCACGGGCGGGCGGCGCGCCGCACGCTGGCAACTAGCGCCGGTTGCGGCGTCTTTGATGATGTGAATTCCGCCCACCTCCCCTCTTCCCCGCACGCGGACGTTTGCTTTGATTGCATGCAAAACGCAGTCGCAAGTATATCAATCGCGCGTGAGCGTGCGCATCTTTTGACTTGGTGACATACACTATGATAATTTCATTATGCCTCGGTATACAAACCAAGAATATTTAGAGATGGTGTACTGCTATCGCGAGTGTGACGAAGTAGGTTTGGTTTACGAATGAGTCCCTAAACCATAGAAGTTGCATTTTGTGCAGTGAGTAGTGATAGGGACACTTTAAAAAAGGTGAAAAGACACGTCCGCAAACAGGCAACCTTTGTTTGCAGCAAAATGGTGGTTTAGAGCAACAATTTTGCAGATAATAATTTAAGTCTCTTTTTATTGCTAGTGTAAATACTTTTTGATTAGAAACAACTAATTGTGTACTACCAGTGTGATTGATTTGATAAAAAGTTCTAGTGAAAAAAAAGAATATGTTCCTCGTTCCTTGTTGTACCTACCTAAATCGCCGGTCTCGTAAGTACTTTTGAATACCTGGTTATAAATTTCATTCTTGGGGTATTAAGCAATAAGTATTTCTTTTTGTTTAACATTTGCCTATTTCCAATCGTGACAAAATTATTATTAACTTTTAAAGTTTTTCTCTGCTTAAGAAAAGATGACATTTGTGCTTATTATTTCAATTTCAATAAAGGCATCTAAGACGATTTTATTGTACCTATTGTGTGGAATCAAACGAGTCAGTTGAGCTCTGTGTAGAGTTAGGTACTCAACGGCTGGCGGGCGCGGTCGGTCGTTGACCCGCGGTGGAATTTCAATGTTTTTCCGTTTTTTAGAAGTGCTTATTTATTAGTTGTTTTTCACTGGATATGTAAGTTTGTTTGTTTAAAATGAATAACTACTCAAAACGAGGAAAGGACATAAAAATACACAAATTATAAATAAATACATGAAAAAAATATACTTCAAAAAAATCCGAAAAAAGACAGGCATACTCTGTACACATAACCCAACAATCTCACGAAGTTTCATAGAAACATTCAATTTCACCCTATATATTCATATTTTCATTTCTGTTATATAATCATTTAAGTAGTCATTGGTACATGACACAGGTACATAATCATCTTCTGAATTGGAAAAATGGAGGATTCTATGTATTTGAATTATTGTGGTAATCAAAATTTAGAAGGGTAAAGTTGTCATTTCTTTTATAATCATTTATTAAGTAGTCATTGGTACATAAAACAGGTACCTACATAATTTAATCATTTTCTGTATTAATCAAGTTAACAGTTTTTAATTCATTCAGTCATGTCAATGGTTACATAATAGCAATAATTTAAAGTTTACGCGCCGTTTTTGGCCATATCTCAAAAGTTGGTTTTGTCATTTAGCCGCATTTTAGCTTGAGGACGGCAGATTAGAACAAAACAAAGGAGCGCGAAACCATCACGTCTGTACAAGTTTTTAGCGCTAAAATCCAGCCGAATACTGTTGCCTTATATTCGGTCAGGGGCCTCGCCGAATATTCGGTTTGCAAGTCTAATATAGATCGATAATTTGATAAGCTTAAACTATCTATGTTAGACAGGAGACTATTCAAAAATGGTAGTCATCTTCCGGCAACGATGAAACATACATAAATCATTTGAAAGCTTATTTTACATAATAACATGAATAGATATATTTTTTTATTTTTTTATTTATCCCCGATTAATTTTAAATCGTGTTTGAAAATTAAAAAGTTTTGTAAAGATGCTGACAACCCAGTCATTAGTCACGTCATATCGCACCTCCGGTGCGACACTGTCACTTATGCAAAAAAATCATTTTTCAGGAGAAGCGTTTAAAACTTTAACATCCCAAAACATACAATATTTAAAGTTTTTTTTTATTTATTTTTTAAGATGAATAGCTAAGCTGTATAAGCTTTTCATCACGTAAAAATCTTTAAATATTGTATGTTTTGGGATATTAAAGTTTAAAACGCTCATCCTGAAAAAAAATGATTTTGCATAAGTAACAGTGTCGCACCGGAGCCGGAGCGGTGGTGCGATTTGTTTAGTCTGAGGCAGCTTATAAGGTCAACTCAATCACTATGTTAAATGCCAATCAGTCCAGTGATATTCGTGAAACCGTGGTAAACTTATTATACCAATTTATTATTGATTGTTCTTGAAATAAAATACCCACAAAATATCTAATAATTTAAAGATAGATGAATAGAATGATTATCCCTGTAGTTACCCATTGAATAAAATATATTTGATGCTTTGGCAACAAAAAAAATTGCCAATCACTAATTGTATTTTTTTTAAATGCGGACCAAAATAAATTCTACTTTTTTGCAAAACGATTTACAATTATGTGCACTACATGTCATAAAATTTTGGAGTCTGCCGTAGACAGACTAATATCGATACAAAGAACCGCAGCTGCAACCGGTAGACGTTTGAAATATTTACAGAATATTAAATTGTATTATAAAAACAAATCTATTTTGTAAAGATCAATAAAATAAATCATTTTTTTTATTACACTGTGGTATTAATATCCACAACTATATTATCATTTTCACTAGATGCAAATGTGCTCAGACAATTATTATAGATGGTAGGCGACATCATAAAGTCTATTGCCATACATTTTTCGCCAAACACCTCCATAAACACATTATAATCTGTATATATGTTAGACTTTAAGGTATCTATCCTACGTTCCCATACTATAAATTAATAAATAAATAACATTATAAGGTGTGATACACTAAAAATCTAAAATATGGTTATCTTAAAAACATAACAAAAATAATGAAGCTACTGAATATATGGCTATAGAACCTAAATCTCTTAGCTTTCTTTGGTTAACGAGAGTTTAAAAATTCTCTCTTATCTGTGGCTCATTCACAATCATCACACAGTTTCTGTCACAGAGTACCATATTATAACCGGAAATGACACCTGATTTTAAAAGTTACTCTTATGCATTAACTTTAAAAACAGGCAACTATCTGTTAATCTACATGCTCTATATACCTGAATCTAATCCATAATTTCGGTACTTGGCTTGATTACCCTAGTTTACTATATAACTTATTTGTTTTATATTATTTTAATATGTTCAGTGTATATGGTTTATAGAAGTTCTCAGGGATGTCCGTCAATAATATTCGTTTCTACAGTAATTTATACATAATTTCGAATCTAGGAAACAATTTTTCATGATTATTGGTCTTTAGGCCAAACATGTATGGAAGCTGAGCAATCTCCTTTTGATTACCACAATCATTCAAATACATAGAATCCTCCATTTTCCAATTCAGAAGATGATTGTGTACCTGTGTTATGTACCAATTACTACTTAAATGATTATATAACAGAAATGAAAATATGAATATATACGTAATCAATCGATTTTAATTTTTAATTTTACCAATTATTTCTCTATGACAAAATATATTATTTAAGTATTCGGTATTCGGCCGAATAATATGTAGATATTCGGTATTAAGCCGAATATAATAAAAGCAGCCGAATAGGCCGAATACCGAATAGTAACCGAATATTCGTTGCAAGTCTAGGCTGTACCTTTTGATTGCTATGGCTTAGAAGATTGATTTTTTCAAAGCTCCAAATGACAGTAGACATGAGTATTAGATATAAATTTCAGTTTGATACCTCCACGCGTTCCTGAGAAAAATAGTCTTGACAGACGGACGGACAGCAAAGTGATCCTATAAGGATTCCGTTTTTTCCTTTTGAGGTACGGAACCCTAAAAACAATTCTCTTGTTAGATATCAACATTAACAATTTTCATTCATCATCAGCCTATTAATGTCCCCACTGCTGGGGCACAGGCCTTCCCTATGGGTGGAGTGGGGAGATTGGGCCATGACCCACCACGCGGGCCCAGTGCGGATCGGTGGGTGCTAACGACTGCAGATGCAGCCGGGACCAACGGCTTAACGTGCCTACCGAAGCACGGAGGAGCTCGAAATAGTAATTTTTGTTCACCCATCCAATGACCGACCACTGCGAAAGTTGCTTAAGTTCAACGATCGCAGCCGAACGCGCTAACCACTTGCGCCATCGAGCTCCTCTACTACCAATTGTTACAATGTTATGTAAACTTAAAAAAATGTTTAACAAATAGTTTCCACAGTGTCCAACTATGAGTATACCACTACAGCAAGACCTCTACATCTATTCGGTACAGATCCGATTACCCCTCTGTAATCCGAACGCCCCACTACGTCTCCAACACCCGCCCCATTCCTATGCCAGATAAAAAAATCTTTCACATAAATTGTATAAATACCCTATAAATTCTCTGTACTGTAATTCGAACGCTTCATGAGTCCGAATGGGGGTAAATGCTGTATATAAATGTTTTTATGACTTGATAAAAGAGTGCACCTTCGCCAGCAGACCGGTTGACAGGGCTCCCCCGACCAAATCTCATCCTCAGTTTATGCATCAGTCCTGGTGGTCGAGTTGAGTTCACACTCGGGGAGAGTGGGTCCAATGTTTCTGCCATGTCTTCGGGCTTCGTCGCTGCAACATCAACAATTTTATAGGCTTTGTACAATGCAACATTGACTTGCACCATTAATGGTGCAGATAAAACTGAATGATTGGCAACATTAATATGAATACTACTCATTCCCCTTTCTTTCTTCTACACTGCATTAATGGTGCATTCTGTACAAAGGCATTTTATATGATCTGAAACTAACTCTGATGCGACTCTTTAAACATAAAACTCGCTTAGGCCCGCATTACAGAATGACAACTAAGTGGTGATCTTTACTTGAGTACAGTTAGAAAGGGATAGCACTATGTGCGACATCCCTTTCTAATTATGCTCAAGGCTCAAGACTAGATCAATCACTGAGAATCTTTCTATAATACGGGCCTTAGAAAGTGAGAATATACTTATTCTTATCACACTACAGAGAATGAAAAGCAGAGATGTATAAAGGAGGACGGGCATTTTGGTATCCAATTGGTGTTTGGTATCAATAGCGATGAGTGATATATCATTGAATTCCTCTTTTCATGTAGAATATTATTTACTATGGCGGCATTCTGATATTTGTTGTCCGTTTTTAGTTTTTCCAGAAAATACCAGAACCATTTTTGCATGAATCGTTATTACCATTATTTATTATTACAGAACCGAAAAGGGAAATCGAGTCACTGAATCAAGTACAGAGTTGAATGCGGGATGCCATCTCCTCTCCCGCCCGTATTTAGGCAGGTAGACAGAAGGCGCTGGCGCGTGGCCGCTGGGGCGCGCGGGCGCATTAGTCGATCGTTAGTACTGCGCGTGAGACTACGTTCGTTCCTTCTTATATCTTTCTCTGATCTTCTTTCTTATAATATTTCCGACACTCACACCAATTATTAGCCTAGCCCCAAAGTAAGCACTATAAGGCTTCTGTTATGGGATGCTAGGGTAACGGATAGAATACATATACTGTACATATATAAATATATTTATATAGAAATACATATTAAACATCCGTGACTGGAGTACAAATGCTTGTATTCATCACACAAACATCTGCCCCCACCGGGATTCGAACCCGGAACCTCTCGAGTCGGCGACACCATGAAACCCGGCGTACAAACCACTCGACCAAGGAGGTCGTCAATATAATTGACTAATACAATTGAATAATTAATTATATAATGAATTATAATAATATAATTCAACATTATTGTACATGTCTAATTGGTAGACGTACCATAGGAACTTGTGCTCACATATTATCCATTATATGGTACCTAAGCTATGCCAGGCACGCCGGATTCGTCGCTCCTGCACTGTTCCTAAATGACATTCTTATTATAGATAATGAATAAAGTAATTACTCAAAAATGTTTCTTTCACTCTGCCTCTGGATAACTACATACATAAAAAATTAAATGAATAAAAACAAAAAAAAAACTTTTCTATTTTGTTATTTTTATTTTCGTTAAAAAAGTTTTTTATTAAGTTTTACCGTCATTGGCGTGTCTAGGGTTATTTTTCAGGGGGGAGCTGGGCCCTGACATTGAAGAGTCGTCTGAAGTTAGTGATTAGTATTATAGAATTTCGATTTGGTAGTCCAACATCCTGGGATGGGCACAAGACCGTCCTGGGGTGGGCACGGCCCACTCGGCCCCCCCTTCTATATACGCCTATGGTTACCGTTCAAGATAACAAGCTAGTAATTGTTTTTTTTTCATTATGTTTTTTACCATTTTCTTTTATTAACGTTCTCGTTAAAGATAAATATTAAATAGTTCACACGAGGTTGTATTGTTACTAAGTCGGAAGGCACTGGTATCTGCAATACAGTTTTTTTCAAACTATTGCAGATATCAACGGTATAACCTAATGCCTATTGTTAATACTTACAACACTGCTAAAATAATGTAAATACTAAAATGTATAACAATTTAAAAAGAAAAAACTTAAATAAAACTAGTTTTTACGGGTTAATGCACGAAACTTTATTTATTTATTGACGTTTCGCAGCCTTTTCAGGTCTGCATCGTCAGAATAATCATTTTCATAAAAATCATTATTCTGACGATGCAGACCTGAAAAGGCTGCGAAACGTCAATAAATAAATAAAGTTTCGTGCATTAACCCGTAAAAACTAGTTTTATTTAAGTTTTTTCTTTTTAAATTGTTATACATTTTAGTATTTACATTATTTTAGCAGTGTTGTAAGTATTAACAATAGGCATTAGGTTATACCGTTGATATCTGCAATAGTTTGAAAAATACTGTATTGCAGATACCAGTGCCTTCCGACGGGTTAATGTTTCGTGCATTAACCCGTAAAAACTAGTTTTATTTAATGAGTGATGTGCGTGAAAACCTAAGAAACAAAGAAAAAACTTTTTTTTATTATTTATTATATAACTCTGTTTCGACAACGTATCAGGGCAAGCGCCATAGTAGACATTATTGTATTCAAGTAGACCTTTCAAATGACATGTAACACATCTCTATTGGAACGGATACCAAGTTCCATACATTTTTGCCCATCATCCTTTGTTTTGAGTTTAGAATCAGTAACAGTATAATGTTAATAATAAATATCTTAATACATCACAATTTAGCTAATAGCAATCTTTAATGCAAGTGTATATTATGATGATTTGGCCATTCTGTTTGGTCATAATTAAAAATTAACATACTGAACTTGACTTTATGTGATGTTTACAAATCTGCTTAGGAACTGAGTCATGTAAAACTAATACCTACTGGAAAAAAATGCTTTGTCTTGTGTATCATATAATTATATCCTTTATGTATATTTCAACAAAATACACTATGATTAGTAAAAACATCTAAAATACAATATTGAGTTATGTTATGGACAAGTAATAATGCTATAAGTTTTTTAAACAATAATCCCTGTAATGTTTTAATCATTATATTTCATTAATTTTAGCTTCGGCTTTAATTAAGAGAAACAGCTCGGACGGATGGTTGTTAGCTACCAGATATTATACCCAAAGCTTCGGAATGCCATTAGAGTAGTGACTCATCAATCATCATATGATACAATTATTAATATGTAATTTTCGCACACATAATCATTTTAATATGATTCATATTAATTTACATTAGTAATGATCTTTATTTATCAATGTTGAAAGAACATCGATGTTTGAGAATAGAATATCGGAACATCCAGATAATGTCAATATACTTTTTAGGCCCATCTGGCGTGCATAGGGGAGTAAGAGGACACCGGAACATAACATCTTTCCGACCCTAATGTCAACCTCGCCTGCACGCGCCGGATGGCGACGGTCGCCAAGAGGTGGCCGTGGTGCTCACTGCTAGACAACAGAAGAGGCTCTGGTGACCGAGTAAATGGCGGAATAACAATTCACCTAGTTGGGAAACCAGCTAGAGGAGGCTTCAGCAGCCTTGGGACACAAATGGTTCCGAAATAATTCTGGTGCGGAAAAATGGGACACTAACGTGACTAATACATCCCAAGAAAACTATGATGAGGTCAACACAATTTAATATTTTGTCATGCCATCCGGCTGACCCTGGCGCCAGGTGGATTCCGAGTCTCCTGGTGTGAAATTGGCTACCGAGTGGGTCACCAGGCTTCTTGCAGAATTTGGAATACTGCTGTCAAGACTTAACACCAAACATCAAGCTCCAATAATAGGCACATGGAACGTACGCGGACTGAATAAAACGGGAAAACTGGAGGTAGTCGAGGCAGAAATGGATCGATATAAACTCGATATACTGGGTTTAAGCGAAACGCATCTCAAACAAAATGGTCATTCGAAGACCGGCAAAGGAATGACTATGATAAATGCGGGTAGTGAAGTTAACAGTTTCAGTGGAGTTGGTTTTCTAATTGCAAAACACCTGACAACCGCATTTTGGGAAATGACCCCATAAGTGACAGAATAGCCCGTTTGAAGTTGGGAGCGTGGCCTCACCGGATAAACTTAATAAAAGTGTATGCACCCACATCTACGTCTGACAAGGCAGAAATCACTGACTTCTATAATACACTGAGTCAAGCCTATCAAGGTATACCCTCTAAAGAGATTACGAATGTGCTGGGTGATCTTAATGCGAAGATAGGAGCCACTGTATCGGATGAAAACCTTAGAGAAGTTGTAGGCAGATTTGGTTTAGGTGCACGGAATGAAGTGGGCAAATGTTGCTAGAATTCTGCGCGGAGAATAACTTAACCGTCATGAATACGTGGTTCAAACAACACCCGCGCAATCTTATGATTGGCATGGAGGTCGGCAATCACTTACACTAAAACACGATCGAGAGCAGATTGTGGTAGCGACCACCAACTGCTATCGCGGCGGCGGCCACCGGCGTACCGTGTGTAGCGGGTCCATATAAAATGTATGAAAACTACAAGAAATATGCTGGTGGCGGCGTTTTGTGGTTGTGGTCGGTGGCCCGTGTGCGGCGACGCTTAGGGAAGGTGGACTGAGCTCGGAGTTGGAGAGGCAGCGGTATCGGGAACTGCATGGCATAGTTCAAAGGTTATGCAGAAAGGACAGAAACGCCGCCATCGATGAAGTATGTCAAGATCTGGAAACAGCCAACAAGCCATGCTCACATCAAAGACATGTTTGCAAAGGTGAAAGTCCTTGCTAAGGATTTCAAACCAAAAAGCTGGACAATAGAAGATAAAATGGGCACACCACTGATGGATAAACATCTTGTGCTTGAGAAGTGGCGCCAGTACTGCCAACAGCTATACAGTGAGCATAATGAATTCATCGAAGACCGGATGGATTTCATTGAAAAGGAGCCAGACATCCTCCTACATGAAGTGGAAGCTGCGGTTTCGCGCCTAAAACACAAAACTTGTGGTGTGGCCTGAGGACTGGATGGAGTCAGTGGTGGTTCCGCTGCACAAGAAAGGTTCTACGAAGAAATGCGAGAACTATCGTACCATCTCTTTGACATCACATGCGAGTAAAGTCTTTCTGCATATACTGAACAAAAGGCTCCAGAGTTTCATCGGTGGTCAGATTGCAAGTGAGCAAGCAGGTTTTGTGAGAGGTAGAGGTACTCGTGAACAGATACTGAACATCAGGCAGCTCATTGAAAAGGCCAGAGAGTTTAACGTGCCGATGGCCCTATGCTTCATTGGCTAAGGCCTTTGACTGCATCAGCTGAATGAAAATGTTTGAGGTAATAAGAGAGAGATGGGTATACCGGACCACCTTACTTTTCTTGTACAGAACCTCTACCTAGACGGCAATTCTAAGATCAGAGTCGAAGACACCGAATCAGTAGCCATTCAGACCAAACGTGGCGCTAGACAAGGGTGTATTCTTTCGCCATAACTATTTAATCTCGTGGGCGAACACATCATGAGAAGAGTTCTGGAGGATTTGCATGGGTGCGTGCGGATTAGAGGACACCTCATTAATAATTTACGTTTTGCAGATGACACTACCATTATAGGCATTCGAACGAATCAGAACTAGCCGAGTTTCTTCAAAAAGTCCAAAAAGGGAGCGTGGAGTATGGCCTGCATATCTGGTTGCTGCGGACGGTGACGGTGAGAGGTGATTAGGCGAGCCCAGATAGCAAAAACAGCTGTGAAGCGACTAGAGAAGATCTGGAGGAATAAAAGTATTTGCCGAAGAACCAAAACAAAGCTAATGAGAACCCTGATCTTCTCTATATTTCTGTACCCTTCAGAAACTTGGACTCTGAAGGCGCGACTTCGGAGCAGGATTGACGTTTTCGAAATTTGGTGCTGGCGCAAGATGTTACGAATACCTTGAACGGCGCGTCGCACCAATGCTTCGATAATACTGGATAATTCAACACTCGCGTGATTTTATTCTCCTTGTTTTTTTTATAAAATTAAAGACATTTCTGTAAAAAAAAAATCCTAGTTTTATTGTTTTATTTTAGGGATGCCAGGGTACTGATACAATAATAGTATATCGGCGATTATCGTTTTTACGGATCACTTGTTATCGTAAACATTATGATATAATATATATGATGCATACATTACATTTTTATTATTTTTACAGTAGTTCCTTCAGTTGTGAGTGAAACGAAATGTATAATGCCTCAATGTCTGAACACACCCATCCCTTTTGATATTGATATACAGGGCAGGGCGTCCCACGGCAACCTCACACGGAGGGAAAGTATATTAAATATTGAAGATAGGATATTTTACTGAAAGAAGACATCATTTTATTTTTAATAATAACGAGAACTGCATTCACAGATTTTTTTAAATCGCCTGTAACAAGTGGGAATCAAACTTGTGAAATTTCGAAAAAAAAAACACAACTCATTTAATGATAACTATCGAAAGGGTTAATCATAAGCATTATTTTTTGTTAAATAACATAGCATTTTAAATGAAAGGAATGTCTTATTACGTGATAAAAATAATAAAGTGTTATACAAACTGAAGTATGTATGCTTTCTTTTTGAACTCACAGTCACAATGCAATTGGCTGAAATTTATAAAAATAATAATTCGAAAATGGAACACATAAATTTTCAAGCATCTGTTCTTTTTTTGTGTTTCATTTTCGTTTATTTGCATTTTTTTTTTTGTTAATTTACTTACCATGGCGTATCAAAATAAAATGGATATAATGGAATCTTACTTTATGAAACACAAAGACTTATTAGCTTTGCGGTGGTACCGCAAAAGATATCCTGATGGAGACGTATCTTCTCGATATGTGCTTTAAAGGTTAGTGGATACTGAAATTTAAGACGTTATGATATGCGCTTACAGAAACCACAGCAGCGGATGATAAACGCCAACGATGATGAACTCAACATTTGAACTTACTTTGAGGCGTATACGAATGTTAGTTTGTGTAAAATAATTTTAAATAAAATGTTCAATTTAATTACTTTTCTTTCATTTAAAATGCTATGTTATTAAGCAAAAATAATGCTTATGATTAACCCTTTCGATGGTTATCATAAAATATGTCGTGTTTTTTTCGAAATTTCATGAGTTTGATTCCCAATTGTAACAGGCGATTTTAAAAAAAACTGTGAATGCAGTTTTTTTATTATTAAAAATAAAATGATGTCTTCTGTCAGTAAAATATCCTATCTTCAATATTTAATATACTTTCCCTCCGTGTGAGGTTGCCATGGGACACCCTGTATATTGATAAACAGATGAAGTGAAACAAACAAAGCTTATAATAAATTCAATGAAATGATAATGCATTTGTATCGTAATAGGTGTATTGTTGCATCCCTATTTTATTTCCTACCATCATTGATGTTTTTTACATACATATTTTTAAATTGATGTTTATGAACATCAATGCTTTTGAATCCATGTTAACATCAATGTGTTTCCAATATTAATTCATCCCGAATATACATTGTACATAAAAATCTCTTATCTATTAGACAAGTCCGTTTGTCTGTGGTGCTGTTTCAGCGGCCAAACCGTAAGAGATACATAAAGAGAATATTTAAGTTATAAGTTAAGAATAGTCTGATAAGACTACAAACCGGATTTGAGTAACGTAGCACTTCCGGTTTTCGAGAAATCAGGTTTTGGTGAACATTTGGTTCACTGGTTTGCTAGTAACTTTTATAATACACAGCTCTATGTTTACAAAAAAAGATATTATAATACTAGAAAAAAAACTTGCCACTTAAACCCCTGTTTAGAGTTGCAGTCTGAGTAATAATAATGGTTTGTTCAACACCCATTTAGGGTAAGGTTGATTGCTTGTTTGATGATTCTAGTAACAGCTTAGTTGAATTTTTATGTCAAAAAAAAATCGAGATATTGAAAAAAAGACTTCAAATTAACATAAACATATTACAGTTTGTTGAATAGCATGAAAAAGGTAGGATAATATATAATTTTTAGTTCTTTGATGATAGTTGTTAAATGCTCATAAATGTTAAAATTAATTTAAATGTTAAATCTTCAGAATAAATTGTAACCAAATCCTAATGTAATATATTACTAGCTAAAAAAGATAACTTACTTAAGTGAATGTCTCCCATTGAAGTTATCCAGTTATTATAACACCATCCACAACAAAATATTTTAACTATTCTGTTTTTACATTCAATATAGCTAATTACTGGGTACACAGTAAATATTTATATAAAACGCAATTAGAGGGGCGGCCACTGGTAATCGCTACTTTAGTTGACCTAAAACAATGCCGATGACATCAATAGAGCCTCACGACTCAAATTATACCTAATTAGCTAATTAAATTTGCACCGATTTTTAAAATAGACAAAGCCGTATTTAATTGTTATCTGAGAGAAATATAAAATATTCAATGTGTGTGTAATAAACTCTACCAAACTACTTGTCAGGTCAGGCTGTGAATATGAATCACAAATAAACAAAAAAACGGTTAGTAGGACGATTGTAAAAAAAAAACTCACTGTTGTTCCAAATATGGGAAACGTATCGCTGATATTTATCTTCTCATAAAATGTTAAGCTCAGTTGTTTTCCATGTCGACTTTTTCTTCATTTAAATACAAAATCAAAATAAATTGCTCATGTATTGCTATTCGATGGCACTTCCTGCCTGATCTTAGTTGACTTGACAGCTGATAGAAGTGTTTGACATTGACACTTTGACAGTGACAGACAAAAAGTTTTACCAACTCCCGAAAAAATAACTCATTTATTAAACAACCTTTCAATCGAGATATTGGTGTCGATTCTGACATGATTCTCTAAACTTAAAACTAAATTTAACATCAGTCTGTCCTTTTCATCCTCTATAGAGAATGACAGGGATACACTGTTGTCAATTTTAAGTATAGCTTTAGAGAATCATGCCATAATCGACACCATTGCATCCCTGTCATTCTATAAACTGGCAGAAAAGGAGACTGTTGTTAAATTTAGTTTTAAGTTTAAAGAATAATGCCTGAATCGACATCATTATGCACCTGGCACTAGGAATACCTCATAATCATAATCCCAAAGCCCATATATGAGTTTTATTTAGAGTTCATAATATTTAACGTAAAATCAATATTCCTCACATAACATTAACAACACTGAGCAAGTAATATTTGTAACAAATTAAGGGCCTTTTTTACCCGACTACGCAATGCAAGAGCGCGCAGCGCGACGCGCAGAAAGGGTAAAAAGTGTTTAACAGTCTATATGTATGTTTTTACAACACAATATTGATAAGTAAAGTTCTAAGTAAGCTACTTCGAGCATAAATGTGCGTTCAGACTACGCTATAGCATATAATAGCGACATAGAACACGTCCACACAACGATCTACTCTATTGTATGGACTTGCCGCGCGTGCTATAAAATGTATCACCAACTCCCGAAAAAATAACTCATTTATTAAAAAACACTTCAATCAAGATATTGGTGTTGATTCTGGCATGATTATCTAAACCTAAACTTAAGACAACATTGGTATCGATTCTGACATAATGTCAGAATCGATACCATTGTTATCAAATTAATTTTAGGCTAATCTTAGATTCATGTTAGAATCGAAAACAGTGCCGTTAATGTGAATAAAGAACAGGGGGCCAATCGCCTAACTGGATTGCTTTGGAAAACGCTATCGCTTACGATTTCATTTTGTTATTTCTAGCCCCCTGAGGTTTTCAAATGCCTCGCGCTCTTTTTTTTTCTTTTGCATTGGTAATAACAATGTTAAAGAAAATAAGCGTGAGGTATTTCGGCGGTTAGAAATAACAAAATGAAATCGTAAGCGATAGCGTTTTCCAAAGCAATCTGGTTAGGCGATTGGCCCACAGTTGTTCAAGTTCAATTAACGATAGTCTTACGTCCGGTCAATAACAATTTCCTGTCTTGATATAGTATTTCTATTCGACGCAAGATGGCACTATGAGTAAAATTATTTCCTGTTCTGAAATAGTATTTCGATTTGGCACAAGATTGCGCTATTTTAATTTTCTGTGTAGCAGTTATACGGAATTAAAGCTGCAGTAAGGCTGCAGTTAGACGATGCGAAAAATTTCTTGCGGCCGCAGCGCGGTGGCCGTGTAATGACTGTTCAGTCATAGCAAATTTATTTTTTAATTAACTGAGACTTAACGTTGAAATTTTTTGTGAGTAACTAACTGCGCGGCGATCGCGCTGCGATTTTTTTTCATATTTTCGCAGTTGGTTGTATAGCATATGAAATTCACCAAACTCTTCTCGCCATTTTAAAATAGGATGAAACCAAAATCTTCTATATTTCTTTTTTTCTTTGTCGGCACAAGTAATATGCAATCGTAATTTTCTTCTTCTTAGTCAAATAGCCCTTAACGAATTCGTGTGAATTTTAAGAAAGACCAAGATCAACTGCAAATGAATCGAGTTAGCAGTGGCGGGGCCACCAAGCGGAGACCACGCGGCCGCCGCGCGCCGCCCGTTGCCGTACTGTCACCGCGCGGCCACCACGCTATGACATTCTGTGTCATATAAACGCGCCCTTACACTACCCATTTTAAGGGACTCTTACCCTGACTAAGGGTGGTATAATAACGATATCGATTATAGTTGCACCACGCATATGCTGCAAGACACCAGGAAGGGCGCCACAGGATTAGGCCGGCAAGGAAAGGACCGGAGCGGCACACGTATATGTTCCCGAATCCCGAAGCCGAAGACTCATCATGGTGTGGGGGGTCATTTAATGCGCTTTGTTTAAAAATACTTACACTTCGTAGAATCGATCGTTGCTGAGTGTAGCTGGACTATTAAAAATGACAAAGGTCCAGAATATGTCTCGTCTCACTATTAATTATTATTATCTACTAATAGTCTCTCTGCCACACGATGGATGCGGCACGCGCACGGGGAATCCATGGATTGCTAAGACTCAATCTTGGAAAGTAATAAATTATATGCGAGACACATTTCATCCAAATCCATTCAGTCGTTTTTACGTGATTGAGTAACAAACATACAAACCACATTTATACAGCTGGTGGGATCATTGAACTTTTTTTTTATAATTCCCACTAGAAAGATAATCCTCTAAATCAGAAATCCCTATTTCTGAATAAATATTCTTGCATATATTTGTTTCTTAGGTTTACACACACGCACGCACATCATACATTAAATAAAACTAGTTTTAACGGGTTAATGCACAAAACTTTATTTATTGACGTTTCGTAGCCTTTTCAGGTCTGCTTCGTCAGAATAATGATTTTCTTTTCAAACGTCAATAAATAAATAAAGTTTCGTGCATTAACCCGTTAAAACTAGTTTTATTTATTCTTGCATATCTTTGAAAACATCTCAACACATCTGTACTGCCATTAGAGAAGCAGGCCCGCAGTGTAATAACAAGTACTTTATGGTGTGTTTAAGTAAGAATCCAGGGCTTCACAGAGTCAGATACGAGTTCTGATGGTTGGCACTGTACTAATGTCTTATTTACTTTCTTTGCAACTCCACTTTTATTTAACATCAGGTGGGTTGGAGTTGGTTGAAGAAAGATGACAAGTTATAAACATTTATAATGGAGGCTTACTGCTGTACTCAGCAACATATATTTTTTTAGAGGAGCAACAAAGTACCCCACTTCACCTAATTTTAATTTAAGTGGAGTCCAATCGTGATGATAGGTAATGCGGAAGCTCTGTTGCCCCCCAGCCATCCTCAAATTACCGACCTGAACTTAATCCTCTAACCTGCAGAACCCTACTCACCAGTAGAAAGACAGCAGATGACTTTAAATTACGTTAAATATATGCAACACAACATCTCTGACAATCTCTCATCATAAGAGTTTAACAAAATACTTGTTTAAGATTAAGAGGAGCCTAACCCAAATAATAAGAAATGTTTTTGTTTTACAAATTTATTTTTAAGATGGAACTTTGCATACAATTTTTATGAATAATTCCACCTGCCTTATGTTAACTTAAGAGTTAATTTAAACAAAGGAGTCTTACAGTAGTATTTGACACTATATTCTATCTAATGATTCTAACATAATTATGCTGTTTCCTCTGATGACCTGAAATAGAGAAAATGGGATGATGTAGGGGAAACCACCCAATCATTGGCACTCGTCCTATTATTGGCACTTTGAGTTTAATTCGAAAAAAACAGGGAGACAATAGATTATTCAAGGTTGTTACATATTAAAAAGAAAAACCTAGTATGGTTATGAAATTTGAAAATTGGCAGCATTATTCCTACAATCTATTGTTTCCTGGTTTTTTTGAACTAAACTCAAAAGTGCCAATAATAGGGAGAGTGCCAATGATTGGGTAGTTTCCCCTATGTTAATGTAGATCACAACAAAACAAAACAACTATTTTCTTCATTTTCAAAAGTGTGATTTGATGATAATATTGGTGAAAGCAATTTCTACAGGGCAATCATTTAACTGGATTGTTTACTTGTACAGCAAAGTATCGGTTGTATATTTAAAGTTATTATAGGAAATGGGATGGTATCTACAAAAATATCTTAGATCCCACCAATGTCAAGAATGGCGGTAATAATAAATCATTGTTTATTTGCTTTGAAACATGCTATTATGAGTTGGTACAGGATTAATAATGAACACATGTTTCACCATATAAGTCTACCATACAAATTAATTTTTAAGTTAAATAGCATGTCAATACGATGAAATACAATAATTATTTCAAAATAATATGTTAAGTAGTATCATTATTATTATAGAGTTGAATCAAGCTGTGTTTGGATATAGTTAGGATTGATTGATAATTTTCTTAAAATGTACTGATTTTCAATGAGTTATTTATTACTGCTATGTTTTTAACCATCATCGCAAAAAGATAGGTTTTAATTTAATTGCTTTACATAAGGTGCCACTTACCACCATGCCAATATTATTACGCTGCCCATCTTTGGTTTCCTCAACAGACTCATCCAGTACAAGATTCATGAAAGGATCAAACCCTCGTAGCACTCCTGTGACAGCACGACCTGCATTGAGTTTGAGGGACAGCTTCTTGTCCATGAACCTGGAATAACCAGATAAAAAGACAAGAATTACAGATTGAGAAAAAAACATTTAATATAGTATGTGAGAAAATAATCTTATTATCATTTAAATGAGTAAATATATAAATAGTAATAGATTTCTTAATAACAACATTGAAAAATGATTAGTAAGTGCATGTGTATTTCCTGCATGTGTTAGTGATTAAGTTTTTGGTGTTAGGACAATTTTTATTTATCCATAAGCATTCAAAAGAATATCAAAACAGTTAATACAGCTTAGTAAACGAACAGTTAATCATCAGTGGTAAATTTGAACCGATAGTATTGAAGATAATTGTAAAAATAGTACTGTGAAAAATGTAAGGTTAAATATTTTGAGCGAGAACATGACTAGTAAACTTACTTTTTTAATTCAGGAGGGTGAGCCTTCGACATTTTTAGATTTTTCTATTGCTGAAGCAATCTAAGTCCTTTTACTAAATTCACACAAGAACAATGCAGATTTTTTTTACTCGTAAGTAGCTTGCTTGACGTTTGTTTGATTTGATCAACCGGTCCGATCGGTCCGATTGCCGGATAATTCCGTTCGCGTCGCGTCCTGTCAAATGTTGCCATACTAGATCTACAAAAAAATCTAATGTCGTACTATTTATTTGGAAATAAACATTTTAAATGTTAATTTATTTAAAACAAAATAAAATTATTATTATTTTTGAAAGAATTACGTTTATTTTATTAATTTTAATGCTTCACTATTGCATTAGGAGTATTCCTGTTAAAAGAGCTGTATGGGCTATTTCAATAAATGAATAAATATTAAACCGACTTCAAAAAAGAAAATTCTTAAATCGTCAGTATATTTTTTTACTGTTGTTAGCGCACATCTCCGAGGACCAATTTGGATGATTCTCTTTTGTTTGGAAGAGTTTTGTTAGCGAGATAGCCCCATATTGATTTAGAGATAATCTGATGAGTACTTTCGCAGAAAACAATGGAACTCCGCAATTACTTTACCTTTTACTTTGTGTTTTCTAAGTACTTTGAATATTTTTTAGTTGTTTTCATTCTAAATAACAATATTTTGGCATATCCAGTGGCACTTTCCACTTAGACAATTCCAGTGTCATCTAACGAGGCAAAATCTTTAAGATTTCGGAAAAAAGAAATATACACACACATGCATTGAAGAAAATAACGGTTATGTGCAAGTGAGACAGAAACGAAAGGACCCAACATTAATATTGTGTATATTATAATATCGAGCCAAAAATTTTCAAAAAAACGTCTGCCGCACTGTATTTGGTGTTTGGGTTACTGACGTGTAGGTCATATACTAAATTCATACTTGATCAGCCTAGTAGATTCAACAAGCCCGACCAAATCAATTGTGACTGACAAACGGACAGACAAAACTACGAGTTTATAATTGAATTCAATTATTAAATATTGACCCAATATATAAGGGCTCCGTTTTTATCGATTGAGGTACGGAACCCTAAAAAAATTTAAACCCTTGTTTGAAAGCAGTCGGGAAAGAGAGATGAAACTTGAAGCGTTGTATGTAAAATTGACAGAATATACTAAAAATGATTCCGTCCAATCCTACGGACCTCTTAAAGATATAGTTTTGTATTTGTTTTTCATTTTCATTGGAGCTTTAAATTTAAAAATGTCAATAGCGTTAAATAAAGTTGGGTTCTATTTTTAGCTAACAAAAGCCATTTATTAATTTTATTAAAAAGGAACCATCATCTGGCTATCCTATCTATTAACGACGCGACGGTACCTGAGATATTTAATTCAAGCTGTCATTCTTGATAAGATTTTTATATGGTACTGATTATTTAAGTCGCTTAATGAATTAGTGTTTCCAACTGATTTTTAGTATAAAATGACGATAATTAAATAAAGAGATCTTCAACCTAAACGGTTGAATTTTGTAAGCTGTTAACACTACAACTAAACATTCAACATCACTTAAAAATGTGAGATTACTGTGATGGTCATTTTTACAGTTATCAGAGCAAATTAAGAACATTTTTCATTAAATTCAAAAGTATTTACTAATTTATTTCGTAAAATATTTTTTTATTATAACTTATTTATTGTTAGAATACTCAATAGCAATAAACAATCTACTCGCGTTTATGAACGAATTCAGGTGCTTTTTAATGTCGCCACACTTAAATATTGTTTTAGAAGTGAAAAATATAATTTAATTTTCTTTAATTTCTTCATTTAAATAAGATTATAATAAATAGTTAAACGTGTCTTACACTTATTATTTAGATCAAAAACGTAGTTTTTTCCAAATACGACTTTGTTGCCGTCATCAAAAAAATGAGTCGTCATTATCATACTATGTCACTACCTATTTCAGAAGACTTGATCTAAAACGCAACATGTACTATATTGTATGTTACTTACAAAAGTAGGGTTATAGTCATTCCCTTTATCACTTTATCTACGTATGTATAGTCAACAATAGCAACAAGTGGACAGCTGGGAAGTATGGATGCTGTCGCGATATAAATCTCGTTTCTCGTATAAGTTTAGTTTCCATAAAAATGATGGTAATATAGTTATTGTGTTTAAGTTTGTGTTTGTGTTTCTTTCCCACAATGGATGAGTCCGGGATTGACATGGGCTACGATTTGGCTTCTCTTCTGACCAATGACTTCTCTGTTGATGAGAAGATCTTGGATGAAATGGCAGCAGCTCAACAACATCAAGAGTTCATGTTCTATGAGCTCAAATCGAAGGCAGTTCCAGCAACAGAAAGGTAAGTTTGTAGAGTTTATGGTTACTTTACATGAAAACATGTTCAAGAGCAACGATTCCTTGCCTACTTGCTTTGCGAATATTTTTAGCACATTATTAGAAATAATTTCTCCGAAGCCGCGGCCATGAAAACTGGACTTGGCAAAGAACCCAGTTTTACTACCTTGTTTACACCATTTGTTTTTTTTTTAATTTGCTGCTGCATTCCTTTTCTTCCTTTGGTCTTAATATAATGTAAACAAGGTACTTTTAGCTATAATTTACTTTAGATTTACCTTTAGCTATTTTGCCATTTAAATATTTTTTTATATATTAAAGTCAATAAAGCATCCCTCACCTATTTATTCGCTTTATTCAAATAGGCTTTATCTTTGTTTTCCCGCGCTTTACTTAATGTTAAGTTGTGAAAAACAAATTAAACATGCATTATAAATTTATTATCTATTATATGAAAGGAATTATCGAAACGTTATAATGTTGAGTGAATTGTGATTATTTGTGATTGTGAACTATTTCATATTTATTAATTTTATACTTGGAGAATCTAGTTTTCCAAAACTTACTTTCAAAATTGACCTCAATTTATATCGCATTAGAATACCTATTCAGTTGTTTGTATACGTAATCTGGTAGTTGTAAGTTTTATGATGAATGACGTTACGTTTTAATGGTATTTCTCTGATTTCGGGAGATGGTGGCTGTGGCTGGTGGTATTTTGCAGGCAAATTAATTTACGTAACGCTCCAACGACATTAAATTGTAACGCTCACATAAACTTTTCCGATGACGTCATTTTCCGATTTCCGTAAACGGTAATTAACACCTCTCGTTTAGTGTCCGAATGTTTTTTAACGAGTTAAGAACTGTTTTTACTGTTTTTTTGAAGTATTACAAACATATTATTCTAAATTATAAAAAATAACTACTTGGGTACTATTCGCACAGACCTCCTCCCTGGTTTAGTGACCCGTCGTTTTTGACGTGACAACGTCTTAAATTAGGTTGCGGCTGGGAGTCACTTATGAAAAAGTGTAACGCTCGGTAACGTTACGATGAGTCTCTCGTGTTAAGTTTAAGTTTACATGTACAATGTTTTAGTAAACAAAATATATTTCTATAGTTAAAATTTGTGCAATTCTTATTTTCATTCAATTCCTTGTTCCTATTGTGCAATTTAATTATATTCATATCAATAAATATTCTACCGAGAAAAAGACGTTGTCACGTAAAATCTTCGCCCGTAAAACCGACTTTACAGGCAACCATTTTTTTTTTATCTATGTTGTGGTCACAGCTAAGGCCGGCCTTGGTGCTAACGACTGTAAATACAGCAGAGTTCAACGGCTTGTTGTGTTTTCGGAAACACGGATGAGTTCGAGATAGTAGGTATATTTTGGTCGCCCATCTTATGACCGATCATTACAGAGTTAGCTTAACTTCACGATCAAAGACGAAAAGCTATCACCACTTCGTAATCGAGCATGCATGCTTGCCTGAACAATTACTGAGCCCTGCACGTGTAACGAAACTCGAATGAAATTCTATAGGTAGGTAATTCCAATACCAACTAAGTACAGTCTGCGGAAAGAGAATGGGCGTGGCAAAAAACGGAACTAACATTAAGATTTTTATTTGGCAATCACAACCAGCAATCTGTAAAACTTCAAAGTTTTGTATTGATACGGATTTGTTTGTTGTTGTGATTTCTTGCGGTTTTTTGTATTTAATCATGTCTAAAAGGGGTAAAACGAAAAACCTTACAAATATGGTAGAAAAGCACTACTGCGCATTCCAATCTATATCCCATTCTCTTTCCGTACAGACTCTATCTTGTACCCATTATGGCTCAATTACAATTGGTCGTTAGCACGAATAGAGTAAATCAGCCAATGGAATTCGGGTAAACGACTTAGGCGTTGAGCAGACGACGGGGCGGGGCGGGCATTTTGTCTGCGAAGCAATAAAGACCGCGTCTGCCCGCGCTGCGTACACAAAGCACACGACGGGCAGAGGCGGTCAGTTTAGGACGTTCGTTCTAGTGAATAGTCCATCACTAATAAGCGCGTGGCGCGGACTGAGCTGACCGCCCCGCGCCGCCGTGTGCGTTACTGCATATAAACTGGTTTGTATGATCCACGGCGGGCAGCCGCGGGCATGCCGCGCCGCCACTGCCCGCCGGGCACCTGCGGCGCAGTCTTTTTGCCCTCTGTGTGCGTTTGAAGTATAGGATTCACTTTGTGCTATTATTCGCGGCGAAATTGACCGGCCCGCCCCGCCCCGTCGTCTGCTAAACGCCTAAGTGTAAATAAACGGAGTCGAGTACGTATTCGGGTATTTTTCGTTTTGGTTACCCGACACCGTCTTCCAGCCCGTATTCCAGTGTAACTACGGATTAACGACCAAGTAATCTTGCCATTATGGGGATGATGAAAGGATAAAGTAAAGGAAATTCTGTCTGGAAGTCAGTTAGATAATGAAAAAATAAAGAACTCTTATTTTTCGATCTACCTAAAAAAACGGAGGAGGTTAACAATTCGAAGTGTATAAAGCCCGTCACAGACGTAACTATAATATATATTAATATATCGAAATATATTACTAGCAAAACAGTGAACCAAATGTTCACCAAAAAAAAAAAATGTATTTAATTAATTGAGAACTTCGGAGATTTTGTGTGGTTTCGTTTGAAATAGAAATCACGTGATTTCTCGAAAACCGGAAGTGCTACGTTACTCAAATCCGGTTTGTAGTCTTATCAGACTATTCCTAACTTATAACTTAAACAATCTCTTTATCTATCTCTTACGGTTTGGCCGCTGAAACAGCACCACGGACGGACGGACTTGTCTATTAGATAAGAGACTAGCAAACCAGTGAACCAAATGTTCACCAAAAAAAAATGTATTTAATTAATTGAGAACTTCGGAGATTTTGTGTGGATTCGTTTGAAATAGAAATCACGTGATTTCTCGAAAACCGGAAGTGCTACGTTACTCACATCCGATTTGTAGTCTTATCAGACTATTCTCAACTTATAACTTAAACATTCTCTATATCTATCTCTTACGGTTTGGCCGCTGAAACAGCACCACGGACGGACGGACGGACTTGTCTAATAGATATTATAGCAAACTACCACAGACGGGAGCTATACTATAATATATATTTTGCCCTCACTCGGTCTGCGGTCGTTTTTGCAAGCGCACGGTTTTAAAGCTTATTTTCTAGCACAGGATGTTTTAATTTTGAAATAACGTTATAATCAATCTTACCGAAATGAATTCGACAAGAGCACTACTTTTAGATTTAATTGAAAGTTCCTCAGAGGATGGTTGCCTTGTCAGGAACGAAAAATAGAACCATCTGGGTAGAGTCGCATATAAAACAAAAGAAAACTTGTGGCGAATTTAATTTGCATCGTGATTTGTCATCCAATAAATTTGCACAGTATTTTAGGAGAGGGAGGGTGGGGGAGAAATGCTCGTGCACACTTGAGCCGGAGATCGGGCAGGCGTTAAGTGAAAAGTTGAACATTCCGTATTAAAAATATATACTAATATGCTTAAATATATCCCGTCACAGACGTAGCTATAATATATATTAATATATCGAGATAATATATTAAACTAACTACCACATACGGGAGCTGTACTATAATATATATTTTGGCAGGCGTTCGGTGAAAAATGGAACATCCCATATCATAAAAATATATCAAAATATATATTAATATGGCAAAATATACACTAATATGCCAAAATATATCTGTCGACATATTTTGGTGACGTCATAGAAATATATATTACAGCTGCGTGTGCGGCCACTCGAAAATTTATATTGAAAATATGTTGTAATATGTCTTGCTATGATTCATATTAATATATACTAGCAAACCAGTGAACCAAATGTTCACCAAAAAAAAATGTATTTAATTAATCTCCGAGGTTCTCAACCTCGGAGATTTTGTGTGGTTTCGTTTGAAATAGAAATCACGTGATTTCTCGAAAACCGGAAGTGCTACGTTACTCAAATCCGGTTTGTAGTCTTATCAGACTATTCTTAACTTATAACTTAAACATTCTCTTTATCTATCTCTTACGGTTTGGCCGCTGAAACAGCACCACGGACGGACGGACGGACTTGTCTAATAGATAAGAGATATTATAGCTACGTCTGTGACGGGCTTAAAACGCGCTACTGACTTGCCTGCCGCAGGGACAATCTAGGGTGCACGGGCGGTCGGCCCAATATCGGCTTGTCTCTACACACATGCCTGCTATTCAGTGTAGTGTTGGGTAGGACACGACTTGAAAAAGAGTTTGTAAGAGTAGCCTCTTTTTTGTACTGAGCCAGTACAATGTCCCACTTCAAATGAGGCGAGGCGTACAGAAGCTCGACATATACGTTTGTGTGCACGAGTAGCACCTCATCTACGCACTATCAATCTTGCTGGATCCAGCATGCAGGACAGCGCTATACACGTAAAAGAGATACAGATACAGATGGATAGTGCGTAGAGGACTTAAATGAAATGTCATGCCTCGCTCTCTCTCAGACTTACGAAGAGTGAGTGAGTAAAGAGACGCGACTATCGCGACATTTAATGTGAAGTAGTACATTTTAAAATTTTGAGCCGCTCTTACATTTTGACATCATGTCCGGGACAAATGTACCGCCTCTTGTAAGTCCTACTCAACACTAATTCAGTGTTCAGGCGTATGTTGAGCTAAACACACGCGTTGATGATGGTCCCAGTGTTATCAAAAAATATGTTACCGTAAAAAAGGAAATAATACTGGGTGAAGAATTGGCAACAGAAAGAAATGTATTGTAAATAAGTAATGTTTATGATTAGAAAAAAATCCACGCGGACCTGGCAGCAGACGGGACTCGGTGGGGCCGGTATTTATATGCTTCGATCACTCGTGTCTAAACTTCATGCTTATTATGATCTGCCGCCATTTTGATCGAAATACGTGCGCTGCGTGTGACAGCTACTAA